CATGATCCTGCAGACAACACACTTAAATGTTTTAGGTCTTGTTTTTTAATTTGTTGCTTTAGGCATCAATCTAAATAACTCAATATTTCTGCTTTAACTGGGTGTAAATATTTGTGATTTTTTTATTATTATTATTAATGATACTGACAAGTACTCTGCTCTTGGACCATTTCAAGTATTAAAATAAGCAACTAGTTTTGAGCAGAGGTAGCATACTTTCCCAAGGGTCGAAGTCATAAGGTCATGAACTCATTAAAGAAACAGTATGATGATGGTGGCACGGCCCCATAATTAAGAGCGGAAGACCCCTGGGTGGACTTAAAATAGACAATGTACTGGGGTGGTTTCAGGTTGGGTTTAAAAGGAGACTAGTGGGAGGTATTTTCAAGGAAGGGGAGCGCTACAGTACATGGATGCCAAATATAGAAATGTTCAAGTGCCATAAACGAAGGGAGCTGGCAGAAAATAGAAAGGAAACGATGGAGATGGATGTTGAGAACAGAAGTGACGAATGGAATACGAAACAAAAAAACAGAAGTTTAGAGTTAAAATTAAGAAATGACTGAGGGGGGATTTCTAATTCGCTTTATAATTATAACATAAATACTCAAAAGAACATTACAAAGCCGTATGATAAATAGTTGTGCGACAGATTGTTCATTTTTCAGGTAAATATGATAAAATATATTTAAAATTAAAGGTCATACATTTGCCTCTAAAAAATAGCATTTTAATTTGTAGACTATTTAAAATCTTTTATATCATTTAGGGCTGAAACTATTAATCGGATAAAACGTGATTAATTCGATTAATGAAATAATCGTCAACTAATTTAATTTAATTCAAATCAAATCAAAGTTTATTTATATAGCACTTTACAACAACACTGGGATGACCAAAGTGCTTCACAGAAAGATAAAAACATTGCAAAAAAAATATCAATAAATAAAAAAAATAGCATAAAACAATGTGTCCTAAGTATTAGAAGCCAGTTTTAAAAAAATGAGTCTTTAATATGGACTTAAAAAGGTGCAGATCTGTAAGAACCTGCAGACCGAGGGGCAGGTTTTTTCACAGTTTCGTTGCGGTAACTACAAAGAAACGATTGCCCCACTGTTTGTAGCGGGACCTATGGACGTCCAGAACCATTTGATCAGCAGACCAGAGAGCTCTGCTGGGGCACTGTACGGTCAAAAGCTAAGTTAAATATTACAGTGCGAGACCATGAGGGGCTTTAAAAACAGGTGTTAAAACTTTAAAATCAATCCGAAAACAGACCGGGAGCCAGTGCAGGGAGGAGAGGATGGGAGTGATGAGGCTTTGCCTGGATGAGCTGATTAATAGTAAACTTGAGCTTAGAGACTCTAAAACATTACTTTAGCTGATAGAGCAACCCAATTAGAGCGGTAATTTAATCAACATTGTAAAAAAAATACATAAAAACCTTGCATTACTATGAAAAACCTAAACCTTTTTGTCTGTCAATATGCTCTATCCAGAACTCCTCAAGTAAAAAAGTTTTAGTTTCACCTCGTTTAATTTAGTAATAAATCTTCTTCAACACACCTTTGACTAACTGATTATTAATCGATTATTCAAAAAAAATAATTGACAGATTAATCGATTTACAAAATAATCGCTAGTTTCATCACTACTATTATTACTAGTCTACACCAGAACAGAACAAATTCACACATAGGAAAACAAATCGAAACACAACCTCATGCTTACATGTACATCTCAGAAATGTAATTAGTTAAAAATGGGAAAGCAATAGTGTGGCATCGCAATCAGCTAATAGATGCCTGCAAATGTTTCCTCAGCCACTAATAGGCTCCCAGTCTGGGTCAGTAGGTTACAAAATGCTGACTTGACAGATGTCCATAGTACAGTCCCAGTGAAGCTGACAACAAAGCTGGTTGCTCACAAAGTGCAAAGGTGAACCAGCAATAGGATTCTCACACCCTTGAGAGGATTGCTCTGGAAAATCCATTAAATAATTAGTTGTAGCTTCACAGAGGGTTGAAAAAGACTACAGTTAGTGCCAAAGGAGCCAGTATGCAAAGAAACAAATCTACAAATCAACTTCAGATGTTCTTTTCCTCGTCTCAAGCTACTTCTGAACCAGAGATTTAAGAAAAATCTTACCTGGGCTCAGAGAAAAGGAGCTAGACTGTTACTCATTGCTCTGCAGACCTCATTTTAGAGAAAATCAATATTTCGTTTCATCTAGAAATCAAGTCCTGAAGCTTGGAGGAAGAGTGGAGAGGAGTAGTATCCTACTTCAGTATGAAGTTCCCACAGTCATTGATGCCTTGGGTTACCATGCCTTTTGCTGTGCGGCCCACAGTTTTTGCAGCCCTCAACCAGAAGCACTTGATGCTTCTCATTCTGACAAGCTGTATGGTGAGGATTTAATTTTTCAACTGGATTTTGCACCTGTCTTTACTACTGAAGGTAACAAAAAGCTGCAGCACAATGATCATAGTATGTTCCTATGTTTGGGTGCTTGGCAATCTGGGCTGACCCGAACCCTAACCTGTCAATACTAAGAGGCAGATGAAGGCCCGTATTAAAACGATCTTGACTATCATTAGACCTCGGCACAACCACACTTAATTTATGAAGGAATCCATGCAAAAAGGAGGAACAATGTACCGAATGAGAAGAAATAGTCATATTTTTTAGAAGACTTAAATTTCTTTTATGTTTTCTTTTTTTTTATTTTTATTCAACATATTTTTTTCTTTTGAACTTAAGGGATTTATGAGCCTTATTCATCAAAACTACAAGAAATAAAGTCTTGAAATATTACTATCTCTGAAAGGAGCAACAAAGCTTATTTAACTTTTTCATTATATTGTAACATTTTGAGATGTGACATTTTAGAAAGACCATTTATTTTTTTATTTTTTTATGCACAGTGGGATTTGTGTGGGACATTAAAACTAGGGTCAATTAGCTTATATAGAATTTCCTTTGTCAAGATCACATTTGATACAGAAAAGGTTCTTTATCAAATGGAGAACATATATAAAAAAAAGCTAAATAAAAAGATAATGGTTCAGGTTGCATGTGGGAAAAGCTTGGCCATTAGGGAGTTTCTGAAACAGAGATTATAGAGAAGACTCTCTTTGAGTCACTGCACCAACTAAGAGCTGCAAAAGAAGTGATGTGAAAGATGGGGAAAATAACCTAGGTGGGTTTTAGAAACAGATATAGCTTTATCAGTCAGGAAGCCAATAGGCAGACACATGTATTTCCTCTGGAGGCGTCTTAGAGAGTGAGTTTGTCAGATTGAAAGAGCACTCCAGAGGGAGGTGACAACAGGTGGGACTTAAGAAGTGGTGCTGAGATAATTAACGAGAAAAGGGCAAATCATTTGGTTCTCTGAGATAAGAGAGTGGATTTGTATTTTTTTAATACCCGTGACTTAAGCACCTCTTAAAAGCACTTGATGTTTTAAAAGCAAAATGCAGCATGAAAAAAAGGCCAAGAGTTCATCTCTGATTTTGATTTTAACTCTATGTAACAAATTTAAATCAATAATGAAGCTACACATGTACTATTTCCTTAAATTACTAATACAGCAGCTTCTGTAAATTCACATGCTAAAGGGAGTCTTATCCGTTTAATACGAGGATGAAAAAAGCAGAGAGAACTGAAACTATGGTTTGGCTGCTCAACTGTGTCTCAACAGCGTGGAGAGGTTTGATTGAGGTTCATCAAGGAGCAATGTTCATGCAATGTCTCTTTCTTCTATTTCCCACTAGAGTCTAATTTTATTTCAAACTGAATTGTATGTATTATGTCACTGCATGCTAGGTATACTATAATAACAAAATTGCAACGCCAGATTGACAGTAGTTATGTGTTTGTATCACTTCCAACCATTTGGACTATTTGTGTGTCGTTACAGGAATAAGATTGTGGGTTTGTTGGTGTGTGTCAGTTTTTTTTTGTTTTTTTTTAGTGGAGTGGGTGTTAATATATCAGTAAGTTTGTCACCTGAACGTAAGTAGTTGTTCATGTGGCGAGAAGGGCTGAAGACCTGCAACACCAAGCTCACAAGAGCAACAAAGGACAGATGGACGTAGGCTATAAAGCCTCCCCAATCCAGCCAACAGCCACATTGCAATCTCCCATTTTGCAGGGCAAACTCAGCAAAATCGGGGAGCACCAAGAAAGGAAGACCCTCCCCGGAGAGGCTCCAACCAGCTGGGCATCCATCGGCCTAACATGGCAGCAAAGACTTGAAGGACCAAGGGAAGTCGAGATGTACACCGGAGCTGCAGCCAGCGGCCGGCTTGATTGTCTGCAGACAAAAGCCTTGAAACCGGAGCGCACTACAAAGGGACATGGTCTGAACATGCAACCAAAAAACAAATAGAGAAAGGCCCCGGGCAGACCCCATTTCCACCACAGGCACACTGTGCGGGAGCCAGAGAAGACTTTAAAAGAAGACTATAGTTGTGCAATCTATAAAACTAGAGTTTATATAAGAGCAACAAGATGAGGCCACTGGAGAAGAGAAGCGATTAAAGGTTTTGTCTGCAGTTTGCCATAAATCCTGTAGGGGAAATCGCAAACATACAGCATAAGGTTCTCTGGTAAAATTAGAGCAAAACTGTGACTTGATGGATGGAGCTAGACACAAGAAAAACATTCAACAGAAGCTGTTGTAGAACGCAAAAAACATTAAACCTGATTCACCTTCTATCAGGGTAACGATGCTAAACATTTGACCAGAGTTGGATGAAAAGATCCTTTCTGTGACTAGATAAAAACCTATTTGACAAAAACACACAATGTATTTTTTTAAACTTCACTCCTTAGGTAATTAGGCTTTTTCGTTGCACATGTGGATGTGTAACACCTTGTGGGTGGTCAAACATATGAAATATAATAAAAAATATGGAGATTTGGGATCTTAATCTGAAAAGCTGTTGAAAATTTGAAGTCTTATTGATATCTAAAGGCACCTTTTGGACTATACTCACATCTGAGGCAGGTCCTTTGTCCGCGCCGGGACAGGAGAAAGTGACAAACTCATGGCAACGCTTGTGAACCACGAAACAACACACTGTGAAAAGAGAAGGGGAGACAAAATGCATAAATTTTCGGTCTAAACTCACAAAGCAATGTTTCAATATGAAGATCAACATTTACAACAAGGTAATTCTGACCAGTTTTTTAAAGTATTGTTAGGGACGATTGCAGTTTCTTTCGAGGTTTAATGCAGCTGATGAACAGCCTAGTAAGTGTCTTTGTTAGGGTGAAAAGGAGAACAAAATACCAGAAATACAACCGTAATAACATTTTATTATAACAAAGGAAACAATAAAAAGGTAAATTTTAAAGAAAAATTGTAAACACCCCAATACTGAAGGGAAAGTTGTATTAAACTCTAGTGATTACACAATCACAAAATCCTAATATTTCTTTAGCAGTTACTCAAAAAGTAAGCAGTGGCATTCAGAAATAAATCGCAGCTTGTAGTTTCTACTGCTGCTGCAACAAAATGAGTATGCATGATCAAATTTACAGTGCCCCCCCTCTTCCTCTTTTGAAAATAAAAAAAGCAACCAAAGAGAGAAAGGACGGTTAAAATCGTCTTCATTTGCGGGCATAAAGTCTATATTGTCAGACCTACAGTACATGATAAAACAGGGCTGCAAATAGAAATATTGAGGAGTCCATTTACAGATTTTCTGCATTCTGATTTATTTCCATCCAGGTTGAAGCTGACAGAAAAATTCTCGCTGTGAGAGTACTTTTGACATGACACAAATGTTTTTATTTAAATCAGCGCAAATTACAAATGCTTTTAGACAGACGTCTTGGCTGCGGTAACTTCACTCCTGGAAGCAGCACTTATTTCAGTATTTAAAAGCTTAAGTAATGGAACAAAGGGATCCTGTGCGTCTGTCTTAACACCTACACTCTCTTATTATAACTCCTACAGCATTGTCATTTAGTGAGACGGCCCTTCCGAATCTATAGGACGCAAGTGTTACAAGCTAGAATGTACACCATCTTCTTATCAGGCCATGCCCCTCTGTTTATGGCCTTTCAACAGCATTACACTTTTCCTCCCTGGGCCCAGATTTGTAGAAAACAAGAAGAATGCACATCAAAGAAATCTTATGCAACCTGCCGCCAAAGGATATGAAAAGCGTGACATGGTTCCACTTGTCAGGTTGGTAACAATCAGCGGAGCACAAACGTGAAAGCACTGATGCACAACGAAACCTGCCATCTCCCCCCGATCAGTGTCAGCTCCACTGACAGCCAAGACAAACACGGAAGGGTAAAAATATCACAGACACTCAGAGAAACAGTAAATCCGAAGACGCCCTGGAGTCCATATATAGAATATAGTACAGAAATCTACTGAATGTCTAACAGATGATTTCTTAGAAGCCAAAGTCAATCTAGTTTACAGAAAAATAAAAATTTATAGTAATCTTATAAGTGAATTAGTTATTAGGTTTGACATTGGTAATGCATGTAGAATTATAGATAGAGCATATAAGCATCAGATTTGTGGTTGGAAGAATTGAATTGGGCTCTTTAGACGTAACGGTAATTTCTTGGAACGTTCAATCACAGATCTAAATCTTCCCTTTTAGAGTTTTCTTTATCTACTTGGTTAGGCTTACTAATTTAAGAATTGATTATGATGCAGAAAAGGTGGGAGGCTCAAGACAGATGTTACTTGCATGAAACATTCCTACCTTTATTATTTGTAGCGGCTCTTAATAATTTTATTTACCATGAATGCAGTCGTTCAAGTAATAATTTCTCTTAGAGGGCAATTTGCTTTAGGGATGTAAAAATGCCCAGAATACCACATATACTGTTGTTATGATGACTGTCATTGTTGACTGAAATCTAAATTGCATGTAACAAGGAGATCATGTCACTTCAACTTGTTAAATTCCAGTTCAGAGAATAATTGGACGAGTCAGTTGCAAATGCAGGCAGGAGGTCATAAGGAAATTTTACTTGGTGAGACATCAAAGCTAGTTCTATATAGTCTAGGGCTGCAGCTTATTGATTATTTTACAAATCAAAAATCTGTCAATTATTTTTTTTCGATTAATCAATTAATAATGGGATAGCCAAAGCTTTCTTAAAAAAGATTTTTTTAAGGAAATTAAACCAGGTGAAACTAAAATGTTTTCACTTAAGGGAGTTCTGGATAGAGCCTATTGACAGACCATAAAGTTTTTTTTATTTCAAATGCAAAATGTTTTTCTTCTTTTTTTTTTCTTCCAAATTTGGATATAACTGCTCTAAGTGGGTTACTCTGTCACCTACACTCTCTATACTCGAGTTAACAATTAATTGATTAATAAATTAATAGTCAGTAATTTCAATAATAGATTATTATTCTGATTAATTGTTTAAGCCCTAATATAGTAAATAAAAAAATATTGTGGATCTTTTTTTTAAGCTGAAAATGTAAGTGCACCAAACATTGTGCATGTAAATGAAAAGTTTAAGTTTGTGTTTTCCTGTATCAATCCATATGGACAGATTTACTCTTAATGATGAGCTTGTGGAGTTAAATTCAAAGAAATGGAGAAAAAGGTGCAGCAGACACTGTATCTTTAACTATCTCCATGGGAAAAGAGTGCGAGGCCATTGGCTGTGCAGTTTTATGCACCAATTTGCACCATTCTGAGGCAGCAAATGAAGTCTAATTTTAAATAGAAACATTAGTGTTTTCTATTTTTAGCCCAATAATACAGTAGGCTTCATTGGTTGTGAGGATGAATTTGCCTGCCTACAAGATGACTCAAGAAGCAGTAAACTATGTCCACAGTATGTTTTACATTGCCAAAGGACATTTGCTCTCGTTTTTTTTTTTTTTTTTTTTTAGCGCTTTAAAAGGATAAAAAAATGTTTCAGGTTATAATGCAGAGCTAAGGAGGACAACATAAGGTAGACTAAGGTTTTAAAACCACACAAAAAATGTTGTTTTTAATAAGACATGTTGCTGAACACTGTTGTTAAACTGGGTAAGAGAGTGCTACTGCACTCCTTCCTGTTTTATCAAAGACACATTTGTCTATTTTCAAATATATCTGGTCAAAGGGTGCCATGGTGTCAAAGTAAAGTAACACTATAAATTCCCCCGTGAAGGTAGCAGTTTGTTAAACAGCTGTCATGAATTTGCCGTGTTTCCTTTTCTTCGCGACAGTAGTGGGGAAAGTAGTAAAAAATTACAATAAATAACAAATAAGTAAAGTTAATGGAAAATACATTTAGTCAGGTAATAAAAACAAACAACATAACTTCTTGCCTACTTAACCCCAATTACTTAATTCTAAAAATTAGTTAATTCACCATTTATTAGGTGTCTTCTGATGCAGTCAGATATTGTGTCCTAATTCTTAGCTGTTTTTCAATCATTAGAATAAAAATTATCAAAACAACACATTAAGAGATGAGAAATATATTGCCAACAATATGAAGTTTTAAAACCTATTTAAACAAAGGCAATATTGTGCTATAATGTATTTTCATTTACCCTCCAAATAGCAAAGCAAACCCAAATGACAGAAAATAATATTAGAACCAAGAAGCTGACAAAAGCCCTTTACATCTAACTTTAAAAGTTTGCACCTTTTTTAAAACATGCTTGTTTTTAGTCACTGAAGTGACCAGATGTGGGTAGAGAAGCCAACATTGGTACTAAAGTAACAGAAGAATTTAATGCATTGTTTTAAGGTTACTGAAGTAAAAGCAACAGCCTGAATGAAACTCTTCAGAACTCACCTCTGCTTTTAATATTGACCTCTGTAAATTTTGTAGTGCTTAGGATTTTAATGGACTATATTTTTATTCAACATCTACCATATTCTTGAATCTAGTAATATTCTGCTTAGCCTTTCTTCATGTCTAAATTTTCCTTATCTTGCTGTGCTTAATTGTTCTAGCCCAGCATGGGTGCAGATAGTTTAACTCAGCTAAGTCCTAAAAAAAAACTAAAATTAAATTAAGTGGGTGTATCAAAATATTTTTCTAACTCTATCAAAATGCTTATACTAAAGGAAAAAATTGTTGATGTTGGTGAAGATTCTCAGTCATTCAGGTCATATTCATTCCAAAAAAAGAAAGTTAAAAGCAATCCACTAGACTTTGTTTCCAAGTTTAAAGACGTTTTGCTTCCCTTCCAGGAAGCTTTTTCAATTCAAAATGTCAGGAATAGCGTTAAGTTCAAGGTTTTTGGAATATGAAATTATCATAACAGGAGTGTGGTAGGTTGTTTTTCTATCAAAAGAGTTAGATCATGCTATACATTTTTGTTTCAATTTATTTTAAAGCTGTTAACTTATCTCACACTATGATTATCTCGTCCTAACTCGATACCTCATCATGATATTGCATCCTAATTATGATGTTTGCATTTCAAAATGAAAGCTTTTTTGCCGTTTTACTCTCTAATAGAGCTTTCTATACTTTACAAACCACACAATATCTAACATAATTTTAAAGAAACAGTCATGTTGGCCATTAAGTCATATCTCAATACACTGGTTGCTTTACTGCAACATTATGTGATGTAATAGTTAACAATAAAAAATAATACATTATTTTTTCAATAATTTTACCATTAAAGGGCAGATATGGCATTATATTTAAATGAATTGTTCTTTGCAGCTGTGAGTGGAGGGAGAATAATTAGCACAAAACATGTTCTCCGACACACACATTACAACACACATGTGCACCTGAATGGTACTTCACTCCCACGCAATATTCTCTTACTGGTTACACCACCTACACACAGCGATGATACAGTACTACACGCACACACACACTGAAAACCTCCCCCTCACTCAAACGACATGAGATTGCAAACACGGAACGTGCAGGTGGAGGGATTGGAGTACAGATAGGAATGGTGTGAGCTGTTCGCAAAGATTGCTTCGAGGCGACTGCTCTTTTTGGGCTACCACTACTGCCAAATCCTTAGACAAAACACACACACAGTGATGCTACTAAACTATACTACACATTTTCAATACTGCAACCCAGGGGCCACAACAAACAGGCGATCTGAACATAAAT